TTTCCAAACAATGAAATGAGTAATAACAACGCATTTTTACTTTTCTACTTTTTAATCTTTCTCAGTTTTGTTCTTTTTTATGACTTTCATATAGTATGAAGCCATGAAACCAACTTGTTAGATCTGAAAAGTTTTCTTTCACAAACATGACTCTTAGAATCCAAATCTTGTACCTTTCCCCCACTCCCTTTTGAGGGAGTTACTTTGTTTTTACTGTCAATGTTGAAAAATGTCCCAGCATCCCTTAGGATTTAAATTATCAACCATTATCACCCAACAAGACTGGAAAGTTTAGTTTGAACCAGTTATTCAGATTTAATTGGATGCTTTTAATTTTAATTTTAAAAAAATGAAATGTAGATCTTGCTTAAAGTATGGTTACATCTACCTGTTTGGCAGGAACTTTAAGTGCATGAACTTTCAAAACAATCAAAATGCACATTTTATAATGAAAGATTACTTCCCAGTACGTCAACCCCAAATCTTTAACCTGCTGTTTAAGGGTTTTCAATGGGAGGAAATATGACTTGGAAATATTTTTATCACTTAGCATTTAGTTGATATTAAGTGATTTTAACTCTAAAGAGCCATCCATCACAAGTAAGCTTTCATCAGTAAGTCACCAGAATTTATGTTATATAGCAGCACATGTTTCCTTGCTGTAAGGCTTACATGGACCTTTTGGAAGACCCTGGGGATAGGCAGTCTATGGTAATGCCATACAGAGAAAATGATCGCTTTTTTCAGAGAACACAGTGGCATGTTGGACAAATGTTACAAGCATATTAAAATCAGAAATGTCGGACTGTAGGGTTTCTATTAAGTATCCCTGATTTCTTTTATTATGGAATAAAGGAAGTCTATTTTGAAATATTTTAATTAAGTATAAAATGAAGGTAACCCTGATCTTTGATTCTATAAAATGTCAGTAACCTTCCTAAAATTATCACATAATGAAAACATTTTACATATTCTCAGAATAATAGAAGACTTACTTAGGTTTCCTAAGATCTAATAAAAAAACAATTTAGGTTTTGTAGAAAATTAGATATTACTAATAGTTACACCTAATATTAAGAGTACACCTAATAGAGGTAACTTTAACATACACATCTCAGAGAGAGACTTGGATTTCCCTTAGCAATTTTTATACTATCTAGGATGAAGTCTTCAATGAATGCTTCAACTATAGGAATGTACTGAATTCATAATAGGAAATGTAAACAAATTATCTATTCTAACTGAAAACCTATTCCACTTCAATGGGTGAACCTAGGCTATTTAACCAAGATTTCCAAGATTCAACAAGCGTTCACTGGCCAATTTCATTCTGGGATTTCCTGCTAACTACCCAATTCATAATCCTACTATTAAAATGACTTCTACTGATCCCCTCTGACCAATGAACCTTTTCTGAGACCTACAAGACCTTTGTTTGAAGCTCTCAGGTTCAGGTCTATGAACCTTGCTCCTTCCTCCTGTCTGGCTTAATGCCTCAAACAAAAACCATCCCACATACTTCTAACAACCATTATAAACCCATGCTCCTTCCATTTCAAGCAATTCCTACAATAAAATCTTCTCCACAAAGATTAGGAAAAAAATGCTTTCCTAAACTTTACCCTCAATAGGAAAACCTTTTATGAGTCTTTACTATTCAATAACATGCACTTTCTTAGTATTTGCTTAACACTGTGTTTTATTTATTCCTTTTCTAAACCCACCTACTTTTTCAGTGTTGCCTACATGACTACAAAAATTGTTAAGAATTCAGTAGCCCCTTAGTATTTGCAGGTATGTGATTCCATGGAGACTGCTACTGAGGAAAAACTGAGAATGCTTGGAATAGAGTTCCACCCTGTGCTGCAGATGCTTGACTCATTATTCCCATAACATGGCCCAGCTTCCACTAAAGACCTGTCACCTTTCAACATATCTAAAACTTTCACTTTATCACTTAAGAACATTAACTTTTACCTTGCTTTGGGAGAACCATTTGCTTTGGGGAGGCATTGTTTCACAAAATTAAGGGCAGGGAAACAGCAGATCACGTAATTTAGACATAATTGATGATAACGCAGGGCTTAGAGTTCCACATCAACTTAGCTGTGTAATGTGTGCATGAGAATTTTTTATTTGCTTTTGAGTTTTTTATTTTTACTTATTCCATATTTATTGCTATTAGTCATGTTCAGGCCATACTGCACGTAATAAATAAATATGTGACTAAGGTGGGCTTACTGTGCAAGTTCAGTGTTCTGACACCAACTCACATGGAATAGCACATAATACAATGCCGTGCTAAATTAGGCATGTTTTTGCAGCTGACCTTCTGAATCCCAAATTCTCTTTTATGTTTTGTCATTTTAGAGGTTTGGTCCACTGTATCTATAAAAAGTCATTTTAAGAAGTATAACCTAACAGTTTAAGAGTGAACTCTGAAGAAAACATGGGATCGAATTCCAATTCAGTTACTGCCTTTTACCTTCAACACATTACTTAAATCCTCCAAACTTTGGTTTTCCAACAGTATCTACTCCAATTTATTAAAACATATAACCTCTCTAAACTAAGTGATTACTAGTCTCAGAACTAGTAGATCAGGTGATATGATCTGGTTTACCTAAGCCAGTTCTATCTTATACCTGTAGTCCCAGTGCAAATAAGTTTCCCTTCACTTTAAGTAACCTGGTTCAGATAGTAAAATAAACAGTCAGTTGTGCTTATCATCATTTTTTTTCCTATAGTACCAAATCACTATTCTATACTCAAATGTGTAATAGTAGGTCTGGGACTGTAAAAACTACATTTCTCCTTTGCCAGTTGAATTGTTAAGCTCCACTAACAGGAGGAGTAGAAGAAAGAAGCTTCAAGAAGGCAGGAGAAGGTGGGAAGAATCCAGCTGCTTCCTGTCAGCTTGTTCCTGTCAGCATCCCCAGAACAACAGTTCTTCATTCCAATTGCAGCACTATTGGAATCAACCATGTATTTAGATGATTAGAAATTTTGTCCCACACAGCCACTTCCAGGGAGAATATAGTGCTGAAAGTTAAGTTTATCACCAATGGCCAATGATGTATAAATCATGTCCACTTAATGAGGACTTCGTAAAAATGCAAAAGGACTAGGTTCAGAGAGCTTCTGAATTGCTGAACACATGGGATGCCTAGAGGATGGTGTGCCTAGGAGAGGGCTTGAAGTTCCATACCCTTTACCCTATATATTACCTATTTATCGCTTCATCTGGCTGGTCATTTGTATTCTTTGTAATATCCTTTATAATAAACAGTGTTTCCCTGAGTTCCAAGAGCCACCCTAGCAAATTAATTGAACCAAGGAGGGGTACTGGAAACCTCTAATTTATAGTTCATGGGTCAGAAGCACAAGTCACCTCCTAAGGCATGCAATTTGTATCTGAAGTGGGAAGCAATCTTGTGGAACTAAGGCCTTAACCTATTCAATGGAGCTGAATTATATAACACCAGTTGGTATCCACTGGAGAATCTAATACCAGCCAAGGTGAACACTTTTTCCTCACTTTTGGTTAAGAACAGAAAAAACAAAACTACTGACATCACAAAGAAGATGTATTTATATTAAGAACAAAGAAGATAAGAAAAAAGAATTAAAAGAAAAGAACAAAGAAGGTATCTCTAACTGGTGAAAAGTATCTTAGGTTGTGGTTCCAATAAAGTGGTAGAAGACTAGTAAGCCTAGATTTTTATGCATTATTCTTCACATTCCTAGGAATCAAGTGACACAAGTAGAGTGATAAAATTTTTGGTAAATTTAAATAACTGTTTGTGGCTCTGAACATTACTAGTATTGGGAACAGTGATTTCACATTCAAAATTAAGTTTTTCTAGGTGAATAATTAACTTACTTTCTAGATAAGTGTTTGAAATATCACTACTGTTCTATTATTCCCTACTGATTTTCTGTTCAATTTCTAATGGAAAAATCTTAACATGATACTCTAGGAGGCTCACATTATTTTAAGTGCCTCAAATTATATTAAATTTAAAATAAGAATTTTAAAGAAAGATCACTGAAATTGACAAACTTTCTTCTAGGAAAGGCCATATCACCAGGAACTGGATTATTAGTGAAGGCTTGATATAGGTACCATTTTTCTGATGTTATAATCATTTGTTTTCCCCTAAGATTACAGTTCTACAAGGCAGAAAAGTCCATCGATACCTGGAAAGTCTATCTTTTGAAAAATCATGAAATGTTCCTTTAGATAGGCAAGATATAGCCTTAAACTGTTTCTGTGGCTTACCATTTTCTGTTTTCATCAGTCTTAACTATCAAAATTCCAAAATTTAAATCTTTCACTTTGTCAAGAAGTTATATGATTAAAACTATATTTATTCACTTAGTTTAAGGAGGAAATATTTAGATTTAACTGAAATACTTATGTTAAGATACCAAAAGAATGGCTGGCAGAATGGCTCAAGTGGTAAGAGTGCCTGCCTACCAAGCACAAGGCCGAGTTCAAACCCCAGTGCATCAAAAATAAAATAAAAGATTCCAAGAGTTCTAGAAAGAATATAATATGTGAAAATAAATGGATTTATATACAAAATACCTGTTCCTTCAAAATTGAAAAATATGACTTTTAAAAAAAGAAATGTGGCCTATGTTGAATCATCTTTCATTGAAACACAGAATGTCAAACAATGAAATATAATGGAAAAATATGCTATTCTATTGCTACCTGTATTTCAATTTTTGCTTCAGAAACTAGTGAACACATATCAAGAAAATATCCTACTGAGGGTTAACAGATTTTAGAAATCAAACTAAGATAGGAAACTTACCAAACATTAAAAAATAGTAAAATAAACATTTTATTAAAATCTGAAAAAACATGTGCACCAAAATAAAATGACTAGTGTTAAATAAAAAGAAAACCTACAAAGAATGTCAACCACATTTGATTTTTTTAAAACTTTATATAAAACCTGTATTGTAAATGCAAAGTTAAACTATTTGAGTACTAACAACACTGTTCATACAAAGAAACTTAACAGTAGTAAAATACAAAAACAGAAGATGTTTAGTTTTTGTCGTTTTGGAAAAAAAGAACTAAGTTGGTTTCTTTTCTAAATGGCTCCAGGCACAAAAATAGAATATATAAGATGGTTACTGTAACATTCTTATTATTTATCCTTGAAATTCTTTAAATGTCACCAGTCATAATAGCAATGAACTCCTCTTGATTTACTGTAAGAAAGAAAATTTAATAGTCAGAAATACAAAAACTTTATTTTTTCAGAATACCTCGTAATACTATTCTTAAAATTTTATATTATATAAAATTCTTAATAAATCCAAACATGATTTTTTGCTTTTACTTCTTTGCTCAGAAACTAAACATGTTTACTAAACAGAACTTCATGAATAACAAAAATACATAAAATGTGATACACATTATAAATTAGTATTCTATAATATTAGCTAGGGAAAAGACATGTTACCAAAAAAGTCAGTCATAACATTTGTACACACTCACTAAAACAATTTAAAAAAAAAAGTGATATTTTAAATTCTACTAGTTTATTTAGCAAAACCTTCCTAAGTAAGCTTGAACATAAGTCATGTAAATTAGAATTCTAAACAATGAAAAAAATATTAAAATTAGGAAAAAAATGTTAAATTGTTGATTCTGAACTTTTATATATTTAAAAGCCTATTTTCAAAAAAGTAATTGAAACCAAGTCAATATACTTCAAAAGTATCAATAGGAATGGCAATTTGGGATGACAGAGATTTTATCTTAATTACTAAAGAAATACAACTATAAAACGTGTAAAGACAGGAAATAATCACTGATGATGTCTAATTGTTATTTTAATAAAATTGAGTAAGAAACTCCAACTTATAAAGAACATTTAAGAAAGCATCCTAGAAACAGACAGGAAAGTAGGTTATCTCCTCTACTCTACTTTTTAAAAAGCAATACACACACCAAGATAACAATGGTCCGAAAAGAATCCTTCCTCTGTGACACAGGTTGAGTTTATGGGCCGCAAGACTTAATACAACCTTAAGGCACAAGCTATGAATGATAATTTTGGTAACAGTAAAAGATTTCTATACTGAGAAATAAAAATCTGGCTTCTAGTCACAGTTCTGCTCAGAACAGTTCTGCATCTTATTTTCTTCATCTGAAAACACGGAACTGTAAGATAATGTTTTAGGTTGTTTCTAACTCTTAAAACCCTATGGGGGCAGGAGACAACAAAACAACCAAGGTCATGAAAGTAAAAGATGACTACTAGGGAGGTAAAGGGGAAAAGAAAAAGAGTAGGGAGGAGAAAGGTATAAAAAAAGAATAATAGAGGGGGTTAATATAATCAAAAACAGTATATGCATGTATGGAAATGCCATGATGAAACCCCTTACTGTGTATACTTTTATATGCATCAATAAAAAAACTAAAAATCCTAGATGGAAAAACACTCCATTGAATCAAATCTTTTTAAGTGCCTATGAATGAAAACACCACGACAGGTATTGTACAATATATCAAAACATACACTAGGGTTCCTATTCTGTAATATATTTGAATTAAAGTGAAGAAAGATAGTAGATCTAATTTTCTTAGATGCGACAATGGTATCTTAGAGTTCTGAAAGATAATGTCCTTATTCTTAGTAACAGCGTGTTGAAACATTAGAGGGTCAATTTCTTGATGTATGTATGTAATAAACTTATTTTCAACTGTTTCAAAAAATCATATACACTCCATAGAGAAGCAAATTCGGTAAAACATCTGGTACTCAGTCTGAGGAAGTAAGATCACGCTCACTGAACTAGTCTAGCAATGCTTCTCTATGTTTGAGAATATTTATAATAAAGTTAGGAAAATTAACTAATTAAAAATGTCAGCAGATAAGACACGTGCACGAAGATGAAAAGAATGTATTAGCTCCAAAAATCACACAAAAAACCAGTTTTAATAATTCTGTTACTTTAGGTCTTATATCAGAAACAGAGAACAAATACTGTATAATACAAAATATAATCTATTATTCAGATAAAAACCAAACAGTGTTGAAAATATGTACCATGGTGGAAAAAATATTATTAATAACCATGAGTTAAGAAGAATGAGCTGTCCAGAAGGTGACAGAGAACCATGAATCCATGTATTCCGTATTAAACATTTATAAGGCACTATGACAGACACAGTGAGAACAGGATACGAAATGTGAAATATGCTCAAACTACTTCCAAGGATTTTAGACACTGGAGTAATGATTCACAATCAACTATTTCATAGGGTAAATCTTATCACAAGTCACTAACAACAAGAGTTTTAGATAATTAAGTAGAATAAATACTCCAGAGACCTTCTGGCTTCCAAAGGGAAGAAACAAAGTTTAGCATCAGAAGTGCCATTGATATGTTGTTAATACACTGCTTCTTATAACAGGAGGTTTAGTTAATACCTGTACCCAAGAAGCAATATAACATTATATTTAAAATTATGTCCTTTGTCATCATGGAAGTCTTAGTTTGAGTTCTGGTCCTGCCATGTATTAGCTTTGTGATAACTTTGGACAGATTATTCATCTCTCAAAGCTTTAACTTCCTCATCTATTATACATACATCTTTGTATCTGCATTATATATGTAGTATATATATATCTTACAAAAGTTATTAGAAAATTAAGTGACATAATTCACCGTCTAAAAAGTACTTATGTTTTGTTGTGTGAATATTTTGCACAGTAAGTACAGATCTAACATACAGTAACTGCTAAATAAATGTTAACCATAAGCATCACTATTTAAAAGATTGTCTGCTATGGCTTTTTCAATGCTGCTTTCATTTTTCCAAAACATTCCCAATGTTTTATTTTATTTATTTTGGGGGATCGGAGTACTGTTCTTTCTATATCATTACCACAGCTTTACATCTGTCTTACAGTATACCTTATTTACCTTTAACTCACATCTACTATGTTTATTTTTGTATGCATAATTTAAAAGAAGTTTTGTTGCACTTAAAAACTGGACAAAATGAAATGTTCATAAAGACAGATGAATTATGAAAATCCACAAAAGAAGCAGCAAAATATTATGATTTTTAGCAGTTTAAAATGCAAAGCATGCAGCTTATATCTCTAAACAAAACTTGGTTTACAGTCCAAAGAATCCACGTTAAGTACATGAAAGTACTAGTTTGTTCCTCTAAATGCTATGAGCCCTCCACAGAAGCCTCATAAACCATACAGACACTATTAAGGGAGGCTTTGAGAAAAAAAGGCAGTGTTTAGATTGTACTTGAGAAAAATGAAAAACATTTTAATAGTCAGAAATTAGCAATTAGAACACTGTAAGATTAAGGAATAGCATGGTACAAAACACACAAAATTAAAAAAAGTATTTTCAGGATACAGAGTATTCTGTCAAATTGTGTACATATCAGAGGTAAGAGTTGAAGTAGAAAAGCAGAAGAATATAGTGGGAAGTAAAACTAGATACTTAAGGTGGGACAATATTAGAAGGCTTTACACTTCATACTTTGCAGGCAGTGAAGACTCATTCACAGTGTTTGAACACAGAAATGAGATCATCAAACCTTCATTTTAAGGAAAGTGTACTATCAAAAGAAGAAGAAGAGATTAAAGATTTATAGGCCCAGAGGACAAGCAGAATACTCTAAAAGATAGTAAAGTAAGAACAGAAATGACATTTACTTCTTTCATTGTACAGCACACGTCAACACACAATACTGCCACCTAGCAGGCAGCCAAGGAAAAAACAGAAGCTATTACAACATTTCAAAGAAATTAGAGCCTGAACAGCGAGAGCAGCAGTAGACAAAGAAATAAACATTTGAAGGGAAAATCAATATAACTTAGTAATAGTTTAGAAGTGCATGCAGAGCTAGGAACAAAGAATTAAAGTCTAAAATCTTACTGAATACCTAAAATTTTGGCAATACTTCATCTTCAGAGAAAAAGTAAAGTACCTTTTTGAAGTATGGTACTTCATATAATAAACTATAATAGTTGTTTTAAAGATCTGCTTCATTCTAAATTGAATGTATATCATATTTAACAAGAAGTCCATTACAAAATGAGTAATACACTGAATAAAAAGTGATAGGTCAGATCCAGACTGAGGCAGGAGGATCTCTTGAGCCAATGAGCCTGAGACCAGCCTAGGTCTAGACCTATCTCAAAAAATAAAAGGAAAAGAAAAGAAAAAGAGTGAGAGTTTTCAAAGGGTTTTAAAAGTCACTGGGTTTTAGGAAAATTTTATATATGTGTAGCATTACGAATAGCAAAACTTACTTTCTCCATCCCCATCTTTATCAAATTCTTCTATCATAGCCCGAAGTTCTTCATCGCTCATATTTTCACCCAATTCTCTGGCAACACGTCGCAAATTCCTCAAGCTTATTTTGCCAGAATCATCATCATCAAATAGTTTAAATGCCTTAAGTATTTCTTCATGTGGATCTCTTTCCAATATCCAGTCTGTCACTAAAGTTAAAACAAAAAAATTTTTTTAACCAAACCTATATTATCACAAGAGCATTCATGTGTAAAATCAACTAAATATTAAATGAGAATAAAAGTTGTGAATGTGCCATTTTGTCTAACAATAAAATGTCAGATCATTAAAACCCAAAGAGATAAACTTGAAGTTAGAAAAACTAAATCCATATTTTAAATTTTAACCATTTTAGTATGAAAAACTTGTCTTATGACAGTAAGCAAAACTGTATCATGCGGGGAAAGAAATGACTACATGAGTACCTTATTTACTTAAGGTCTATTATCAACAATCGTACTAGGCTCCACTGACACCAAGCCCATAAGACTAGGCCAGTTTGTCACCTACTTGCAGAAACTCATACCAAAAAAACAATTAAGCTAACTAGACAAAAACTGTTAGCTACACTTAATACACTGGTTCTTCCTCAAGTTTAATTCACTTAAAGACAAGCAACAAAAACTGAAAAATTAACAAAAAGTGCCTGTTGTCATTAATTGATACAGGTACACTCTCAGTCAGCAGATGAAATTTTCCACTACAGCTTCATGATTAGAAAAATCTCTTGGATTCCAAAATGTGGAAAGTAGGTTATAAAAGGATTGAATCTGATCATAGCAAAAAAAAAAAGCCCAAAAATCTCTGGAAAAGATGTCTAAAGTCCATTCACTTTGCTCAGCATAATAAGAACTTTCAAAGCCAACTAAATATAAACATGAGTAATTTCAGATCCAATCATAATAATACATTTTAATATATTAAATATAATCAGCTATAACACGGTAAGCTTAAATTTCATACTAGTCTTTTATCAATGTCCACAATGACAACAATTAAAGTAAAATCTACAGTAAATTTTTAAGTTACTACATAAAATTTGAAAATTCTAAGTAAACTCTGACGTAATTCTACATGCTACTCAACCATTACAGAAAAGGTTATTTATGATTTTCACTACATTAAAAGTAACTTAGTCTGTTGAGGGTATAAAAGCATTAGAAATTTGCAACAGTTTAAAACAGAAAGGACTTATATGTTTAATGAACCCAAATAAAAATAAATCTAAGTTCCCAACAAGTTGTTGTTTGCTGCTCTTTCATCTGCATTTTGTTCTGAACTGAAACCTGTTTGAAGCTAACATCGTACATCACACAATATAGTAACCACTTATCTTTTAACCATTAATTTTATCCAAAAAGGCTTCCAAGTAACTAATTGAAGTATATTACTATAAGCATGCAAATCAAAGCTCCATAAATATTTACAGTCAAAAAGAGTTTGGCATATATACAGCTGTAACCAGCCAAAATAAAAATCCACACTTAACTCTATGGCCTCATTCTCAACTTAATTTTGAAATTTAGTCCCCAACAAAAAGCAGGACAAAGGAAAAAAGTGTTAAACCATTTTTCTTTACCATTAAGGTAATTTGCAATGACAGGTTGAACAAAAAAAGCAGCCTTTGCCCTGAAAGTATTAATGTACTTAAAGAAGCCAAAAGGGTGATATGGGAAGCTGGGGCTCCAGGATGTATAAATTCTTATCCCCACTATTACTTTGGTGTAAGTTATTTTTCAGATTCCATTTATCTACATTAAACTTTTATTCATATTCTCCCTTAGAATGCAGCCTCTCCTAGGAATTAATAAATGCCCATCATTCCAGACAACTAAAATATTTTCTAGTATCATAACTTTTATGGTGTACTCTCATCTATATCCTTCACTCTATTTCTGTTCTACAAGTAGAATTTAAGTTTATAAGAACTATCTTTAAAATGAAATAAATGAATTAATTACAGTAAAGTTAAAAGATTTTGGGCTTTGTCTGTTTCACAAAGACTTCATGTAACGTGTCCCATGTAACTTTTTTTTATTACAATATCTGAAGTTTTATTGAAGTAAAGAGCACAGTAAATCAAAACCAATTCAAAGATACATGATTTTTAATACACTATCAGAAATGTATTCATCACTAATTATCCTTACATATAAAATCACTTAAGAATAAATAGTAAATTCCAAAAAACATCACATTAAAAGTAAGCCAAGATCACATAAAGGTAATGCTAAGAATATCAAATAATTTCTCGCTGCCTTTTTGGAAGTTGCTATTCCAAAGCAAGAAAGGTTTCTTATACCTAACTTTAAACTCAGCATGCTGGACTCTAAACTCCTTCCAGGATCACCAAAGTAGCTCTTTTGCTGCCTCCCTGACCTTCCACCCCTCAAAAGCTAACAGCATCAATTAAAGCTAGTTAACCTTGTTTTGAAAAAAGGTGGAATCATTTTCAAACCGCCATAAACCTCAAGCAGTGACTAGATTCCTATAAGTCTGAAAGATACCACCTGCCTCTTATATGTAACCCTGTTTGTTTTTCCGATCCTCACCATCCTCAGCATAAATTTAGTTTTATGTTCTGGTCTGTAACTTTCTACCTTCATTCATCTTCAATCTTTTCATACAGTTATTTCTCTAAACATACATTATATCTCCTTCCCTTAATCTCTGCTCACTACAGTCCAAAACTCCCTACGTTATTCCAGACTTTACTATGAGACTCAACTCTACTTTCCAGTGATTTCCTTCTAGAACTCTAGCCAAGCGAGCCAGCCTGACGTTTCCCCCCACAGGCTATACTTCTAAATAAGACTCTTTTTTTATGGTGTTTTTCCCATGCTTGAATGCCTGTTTTCTCTACTTCTCTCACAATCTTCTCCTAAGAATCTTTAATTCACAATTTCCCAAAGGCCCCAAAATTAAAAGAATCCCCTCTGCAACGTTTCTTCAGTTTCTCTGGATGAGTAGTTATTTGACAAGTCCTTTGCTGTAAATTTGGCCAAGACAGTAAAATTATTTTAGGCTCCTGCAGAGGCCTAAAGTCTGTCTCTGATTACTCACTCTACATGGCAAGCAAGAAAAGCTAGAATGGGTGTGGCACTAATTAGGAGTGCAGTCAAATTCTACCACAGGCTACTGATTACCAATCATACTTACACCATATAGAACCATAGCTTGTTGTCACCTATACTTAAATTTTAAGTTCGTTAACAGAATCTCTTGGTAACTTTTAAACTAATACCCTTTCCTCATAGCAGTACCTAATGCCAAAAAATTCACTGTCCTATTAAATAAGCTAAATAAAAATAATGCCCATATTGTATTCCAAATAGAACAATTTAAAAAAAAAGGAATATAATGCCAAAAAATAGATGAAGCACAAACAATCTGACTTATCTTGGTCCCTCACTTGAAAAATTAAACAACTCCTGAACACCAATGTTACTTATTATTAGCCCAACTGCCTTCACTTAAACTTGCATTAAATATATTTTAACTGCTTTTTTTTTTTTTTGAGTAACTCACAGGAAAAACCCAGTAAATGCAAGACTTTATCCAGAAATCCTGTGGGACAATATTTTAAGCAGTAATAGAAATGGCAAATAGCTAAGACCACTATTCTAATTTAGAGGTATTTACCCACAGAAGTAATAAACCGCATATTATACTCTGTGGTCCTATTATTAGTTAAAAGTAATCAAACAAATGGGGGGAAAAATATTGACTGGTTCCCAAAAACAGATGCTTTTTTTTTATATTACAATAAGCTATTTTTATAAGTTTTCTAAAGCTAACTAAAGATGTGTTGAACATGTCAAAAGTTTGATCTTTGAGACAGAGCTCAGAATTCGGCGATAGCTATTTATTCTGGAAGGAACCCATTAATTTTCTGGTCTGCTGATACTTATAAAAGATAGTGTCAGGAAAAAAGTAAAGGGTAAGCCCATGGGACTCTGCTCTCAGCTGCTAATAAAAATCACAATTTTACGAACTGCATTTATGATGAATTATGTCATTACTAAATGATAATATAATGTCTTAAATAGCTGCCAACTATGAAAAAAAGGTGATGTAAGAAAATTCTACATAGAATACTACTAGTTCCAGTGATTCAAATATACTTTCCTTGCCTCCCCGAAACAAATGAAACAAAGACTATTTTTAAAGTAGTAAGGAAAACGCTTAGTAGCACTTACTACATGCTAGTTCAGTTTCTAAGAAACTTTCAACTTCTTAAATTATGTAATCCTTTACAAGAACCCTAAGAGACATTATAACTATTCCCATCTCAATCGTTGAAATGAGGCACAGATAACTAAAATGACCAAGTAATAATAGTAAGTGGCAAAACTAAGAACCTAACCCACAGGCAATCTAGTTCTAGAGTTAATCCTTGCTAAGTCCACTATAAATGTACAAATGTAACTGAATTAATAAATTTTTTTTTTTTGGCAGTCCTGAGGTTTGGGGTTTTGAAACTCAGCTCAATAGCTTTTTTTCTTATAGTTCAATTCACCACTATATTCTAACGCCTTGTTCTATCATGGTTCTAATTTTCAAACTTAAGAGTTCAACAATCATAAACCTCAAGGAGAGGCATCTATCTATATTGGAGAAGAAAGGTGGACTATCCCTCTCCTCAAGTACCCACAATTCTTCAAATTTCAAGGGAAAAAAAAGAATATGCTTCTAAAACAGAAGTTTGCTTCTCTAAATAATCACATATTGTTTCAAATAAATTGGAATATCTTTCTTTTGCTGTAGTTTTCAGATGAAAAAAAAATTAAAAGAAACAAACTAATGAATGAATTTGTTTTCTCAGTGTCCTACTATCATTATTTTTCTTTTTGCTTCCCATATTGCTTCTTGCTGAATTTTCAAATAAGGGCTTTGGTTGAGTGGTAATATGTATAATTGAAATTTGTTTTAAATGTCTGAAAATAACTATATGATTATGTATGTAATTACGACCCACATAAAATGATCTTTTAGTTTAGAAAAATAACAGAATAAACTTGAACATTTAATAATTCCTGTAATAACATTCCTAAGGTAAAAGCATATTTAGGTTACAATAATGAATAATTCACTAGAATCAATTACACCAAATTTAACTCTATTAAGTCCAACGTCACATAGCTTCAGTTGTGGTTCTAAAGTTGTTTTCTGATTCCAGTCTGCCAAGTATCTCCCTTACTAACAACACTTCTCCACCCTCTCTCTAAAAGACATATTTTTATATTCACTGAGATTCAAGTTATCCAGGGTATACTAGCCCTCAAAACTGTCAACGTTGAAAGCATGTACTTCACTACGCCACAAGATACTGTTTCCTTTTCTTCCACTTTAATTACCCAAAAATCACATACCACGAAAGGGTCTTGGGAAATATTTCTTAAAACAGTAGGACCACTAACTTTTTTCTGTTTGTAGTGAGAGAAAAATCATTTTTGATCCCCTTTTAAGTTTTAACCCCCATAAAATAAATACATATTACTTGGAAAGCACTACTCATAAAAGCTACACATATTCTGTGTTAGAAATCTTCAGAACAAAAGACAAAACTACAAAACTAACAGAAAAACCAAAAATATTTTTCCTGTGAACTCAGGGAAAATAAAAGGACTCCCCCCCACCAAAAACAAACCCCTCAATAAGAGCCATATGAACATCAACATTCTAGTAAAAAATTCCCATAACCCAGAAGAATTAAAAAAAAAAAAAAACATAATAACAGATAATTTTCCCCGAACTGTGGTTGCAAAGACTATTGAAATACACACCAACTTCATTTAAAATCTTCAAAGGTGATTTTTTCCCTGTGGCTTTCTCTGTCATAAATCTTTTAGAATCTTCAGCAACATCAGCTTTTTTACATCAAACCCAAAGCTCTCATTGCCCACCTTTTGGTTAAAAGGGAAAAGCAAATTATAAAACACATTCTTAACAAAAAAGTGACTTCTGATCTCAGTACAATTTTTATATCATAAGAGATGACAATATATTGATAAAAACAATTTTTTTTGCATGTTTTTAACATTTCTAAACACAAAAGTATTGGTTTTCACTACTGAAATGGAAATTTTCAATTGGCTATTTTGCTTTTATAAATGACCAAAAAGTGTTTACAAAATATACTAGAGTGCATTGAACTTAAACACAACTGACATTTTTAACAAGCTATTTTCCACAAGGGACACAAATCAAAACAGGAAAAATACACGTCCATAAGGGTATTAAAAAAGTTTATACAATAGAAAGATAAAGCATTAAAATAAGAATTAATGGCCAATGTGGTAGTACAGGCTTATAATGCCCAACAGTCAGTAGTCTGAGGGCAAGAGAACTGCACTTCAAGACCAACCAAGAACTATATAGTAGATTATGCCTCCAAAAGGAAAAAAGGGGTAGTAGAGTGGCTGGCTCTCAAGTGGTAGGCCAACCACCAGCAAGCGTGGAGGCCTGAGTTCAAACCCGCAGTGCTAACCAAAAAAAGACGAAGAGAGAGAGGGAGAAGGAAGGAGGAGAGACAAAAAGGAGGAAGAAAAAGAGAAAGAAGAATATAAGGCATAAGATTCTGCATGACAACCTAATAAGGAAGTAGTTCAGGGACCCTCAGTTTAAAAGAAGAGAGAGAAGAGAGATAATGCCTACAAGTAACAAAGAAAGAAAGATATGTCCTAGTTAAAAGAAGTCTTATTTGGAGAGATTCAAGTTTGTCATCCCTTAATGAATTATGAACGATATGGTGTAGTAGGACAATTTAGATAGATGACTGGTACTAAACCAGAACACTGGAAATAAAGAATATTTGAGGGACAAAGACAGCTTGTTTACCTTATTTGAATGGGATAGAGTTTGAGATGGAAGAAAGCAATTGGTGAGTGAGAAAAGTTAGATAGTAATAAAACCGCATTTATTTTTAGAGAGCAAAGCAAAGGAATCTGAATTTTATGTAGTCTTATAGTCAACAATGAGGAGTTCAATAAAGCAATGAGCTTTATAGGTATTATGGAGAAATGCACTATATGGCAAAAGCCCTTAAGCCAAGATCTCATCTAATGGGTGGTGCACCATTGGTAAACTAGAAGTGAGGAGAAACAATTAGAAGCTCCAGCACAAATAATTAAAGCCCCAATCCGCAAGATAGTCAGTAGCAACCCAAAGGAACAGTCATTTTTAAAAAGAACAAATAAAATCTGGGTAACTAAAAGAAAACAGTGGGAAAAAGAGAGCTAAGAATACAAGATTGAAGAAGCCCATACTTCAGGCCTAATTACTGCTTTTTAGACATTTTTTCCCTGTCACTGCATAGTTCCTAGTCTGACTTGGAATTCTTATGCTTAAAATATACCTTACCAAATTAACCAAAATTATGACTATCCAAACAAGTCCATGTTCACCATCATTAAAGCTACTTAAAACCTCACAAGTTATGTTTCTCGCTGTGGCTACATGTAAGACTCATACCAATTTTCCCTTATATTTTATAAATAATTCTAAGCTTACAAGTTGACATTTTTCCTCTTCATGTGTCAATATTAGGTATCAGACAATTTAATATTGTTTGCATCAGGAAAGTAGGTGGGACTGTCTTACTAATAACAAAAATTAAACACTTTAAGAGATAAATAATGGCTCCCTCAATCTCCAAACCATGTATGAGCTACCCGCCTCTGCTAAAAAAAAGAAACTAATAGTGGGAAGAAAACTATGGTAAGGACTGTTTTAAAAATGCATAGTTTTACAAATTTGTAATTAATGTGCATGAAAAATAAAGCCAACCTTCCATACTTTTACATTTAAACATATCATTCATTTTATAAAGAGAAAAAGATTTTTCTAAAAGTTATGGTAACGGGTTCTTCTATCAGTTTTTAAATTATGGCACCTAACGTGAAATGTTTAAATGGCTTCACAGTTCCAAAACCAGTTTAGTTAAAATAATTGTTTACAAATAATATTTTAGAGCAAATACAAAAACATAAATTTTTAAAAAAAATGTATCTTCGGTATACTATTACCTTTAAATTCGTGATAATCCTATTTGCTTCATCTTTCCTGTATCAAATAAGCTCAAAAGCATCTTTAAATTTTCTTGTTTCTGTTCCTTCAGAGAGTTCTCTTCTTTTTTTTTTCTCTTGTTTTGTCCTACTTACAAGGTATTTCCTAAATGAAACAGAAAATAAAATAGTCTTTTAGTCCACTTTAATCCAATTCTATGCAAATTCACTAAAGAATGCTTTTTTCCTAAATTAAAAAAAAAATAATAATAAGTATCTTAGAGAAAGATAAATCTGCCCCAATCAAAATGCCCTGCCTTATTATGACCTAAACTATTAATTGGCAAGTTCTCAAAACTCAACAGTGTAACGTGTTATTAATGAAAATAACTGAGGGCTGAACCTTCCCTCTTCCCAAGTTGTTTATTTTTTTCCTCGTATCCTACTGTGGACGAAATAAAACTTGTGGAAACAAAAAATATTACTTTTGAATGTCAGAAACCATAACCAAAACCCAATAGCACCTCAACCTCAGTAACTCACAAATCATTCTATAAACAGCAATAAAAATACCCATGACGAAAGTAAAACCTCATAATTGATAATCACCATACATTGGTTTAACTTTGGGGATAGTGCATAAAATTAAGTTCCTCAAAATTACTACTGAAAAAAGAACCATAAACTGTATCAATTTACATAAAAATTTAATTTTGGAATTGAAAGTTCAAAACGTTTTTAGATTATAGGTTTCTAACTAGTTTTTGGTAAACTTTGTAATTTATTCCATTGATATTATACAAACCACCCAAACTATTAATGGGCCTAAACATATCACCAAGATTAGGCTTCCCAAAAATAATAGTACATAAAATCCGTGTCTTAATTCCCCTGATACATTAACATGTCTTGTGATTTTTTCACTTAACCGATGTACATGGTTAAGCTTCTCTTAAAATGAAAAAACCTCTCTGGAAAAGCTTTAACGCCAATTAACAAAAATCAGTTTATTTTAAAGCCCAGAAATGTTCTTCCTTAAGAGCTGCCCATCTAAACGTGCTCAGATTTTTTAAATGAGGATGCAACACGTGTATAAGTCAAAGTTTGAAACATGAAAAGCTTGTAAGAGTCCTAACACGTGAAAACCAGTTGACATTAGGACGTGTTGCCCATCTACATTGGCACGATTATTTTGGTCCCTCTGAACGCATCGCCAAAGCCAAGAGACGGGACAACGTGAGCAGCAGGTGAGCACGACTTCGCGCGAGGAAGGCCGTTCTTTCACAAGTGACCTGACCTTGACCCAAACGGGCCATCCCGGGTCACCTCTCCCTTCCCAAAAACACACACCTGCGTCGCCCAGGGGTACCGCGACCCTTTGGACACAGCCCGGCGCTTTTTTTTTTTTTTTTTTTTTCCTTGAGTAGCCTCAACGTGGATTATTTTTTAAGCTAGGCGACATCCAGGCAGGCACGGGGGGACCAGAGACAAGGGTCAAGAGGTGGGCACTGAATGACAGGTTAAAGAAATCCGACAGAAACGGGGAAAAGCAGAGAGAGACGGCCAGCGGCGGCTAAGCCGTGAAGGCGCCGCCCTGGTGCACAGCTCAGAGCTCGCTGTTTTTCTACACTATGGATGAAGCGCTTCGTGAGCGACGGTGCTGCCCAGCCCGGGCCGCAGACCGGGTGGAGACAGGCCGCAATGAAGGAGGCCGCCCCACCACCACTCACCAAAACGCCGAACAGAACCTCGCCGATGTTTCAATCCTCCTCGCTCCGCTAACGAAAGCCACGGGCCTCGGCCGAAAGGCAATGAGCTTATCAGCCTGCAAGAACACTAGGACCCCGCAAAGAAAGTCCAGGCGGCTTCCCCTCGTCCCTAATTGCGTGCCCTTCCTTGCCCGGGCCCCAGAAGGCTTCCCACACACGCCCGCCCTAAGGTCCCGCTCCGGGATGTAGAGGGCACTGCCGGCTTTCTCATTACCGACCTCAGAGCTAAAACCTCATTTCTCTTCGGAACATCTGACGTTCCTCTCAAGCATGGACTTAACCCCTAACCCAATGGGTGGGCGCGACTTCCACAAGCCGTTCAACTCAGACTCCGAGGACCCACCGCCGGGCCTCAAGAACCACCCCAGATTGGAAAAACTTAAGACCCGGATTTGGTCAAAAAATTGCCAAGTGGTTCTGCCCATGTAGAGCGGAAGTTTGCCCAGTTCCTCTATTTCCATTGGGCAGATTTCACGTCAACTCAAAGAAAACCTCGCGGCCGGCAAATCCCCGGAATGCCTCTTTCCGCGCCCTTTAGATTTGCCAGGTGCTTTTCTCCTCTCTCTTCCTCCCTCCAATCCTTTGCGGTCGAGCTCCTAAATCCCACTGTTGGGGTTCAGTCAGCGGATGACTGGGGCGCGCTCAGCCCTAGACGGCCTGCAGACAAAGAGAGGAAGGGGGGAGGGGTCGCGGGGGCATGAACGTCAGGAAACCCAGGGACCCAGCTCGAGACAGGGAAAGGGAGGAAAGGATGAGTCCGTCGCAGGCTGCCCGCCCCTACCACGGAAGGACGCAGTACTGGAGAAAACAGTTTGGGGCGAAGCTTCGCTCCGCTCTGATCTAAAATTTGGATGGCCCCTATGTACCTGGGGAGTGTATCTAAAACGCAGTTTTTGTGCCCTTTCTCCATTTCTAATTTCAGTAGCCCGAGTGATTGTGAAGAGTGGCTGTGGATGTGCTTGGAATCATGAACTTGGGTTGGACTCTTAGGCCTATTTACGGTTGGAGCTGGCGCTTGGACCAACCTTTACTCTCCTGTGGCTCTGTAGTTGTTTGAAAAGGACTTGTTTTTCCATTGATGGTAGACTGCGCACATGCTGTTATCTTCACTACACACCAGGCTCGATGCTCACTTGGATAATTTAAAATTTTTTATTTCTGTTGTCGCCTCTCCTGGCTAGGTGATTTCTTGGAAGGCCAGGATTGGTATCTTCCATTTGACCGCTGTTCGCTTCTGCCCATAATAAGATGTCTGAATACATACATATATGCTCATAATGTTTTGTTTGTCCGTTGAATGCCAGTCATACCAAGTACACAGCCACACTGTGAAATCTCAATAAATGTGAATATATAGTCGAGGGTGGGATTTAGAAGGAGGAAGGGAAAGAATACATAAACAACTGTATGATCATGGTGTATATAAGGACTTGGAAAAGCAAGAACAGCAAAAAGAAGCCTCTTGACAGAGTGGCAATATGGTGGGCCGGAAAATGAAGATGTATTTGGACAAGTAACGAATCATAAAACACAATAAGCTAAAAAATGGAATAGCTTAAGAGGTAACACCCCTCAAAAAGAAGAAAACTTTCCCAATTTTTTTTAAACCTTTCCATTATTAATCACCTTTTTAGTCTTAAAGAAAGTAATGGCAAACTACACAATTAAGAAACTTTATGACCTTGTAAAAACTATATAATTGAAACTGTACTATAGTCAGCTTTACTATTTTTAATTTAAGAAAGGATGTAAATAAACCCAAAGCATTTTATTTGAAGAGGCCTAGAAATGAACAATTCTAAGCTACATTAAGAGGAAAGACAATTACTGAAGATGAAAAACAAACAATTAGGAAAAAGTAATTTTTACGGAAATTGATAACATCAATAAATTGGTACACTAGATTCCATCCTTAAATAATTAAACTGTTTTCTTACCGATACCAGTCAGATTAACAGATTTCTGAGAAGTGTGTGAGAAAGGGAAATGTGGCCACTACAACGTTGTGGTTTGAACATTATTAAAGTACTGGGAGTATGGCCTTGCTAGGGTGTAATGCCTAGCAACCCAAGCCCTGAGTTCAAACCTCATTCTACCAAAAAAAATTATTACACTGTAACAGATCCACTGGGAAATTTATGAACTGAATTTCAAATATTCCTGAAGAAAATGTGTGCTTTTTAAAACTTATGAGCCCTCAGCATCTAAAAAAAAATAAAAGTGTTTAAATCACTTAGCATAAGCTCCATGATGACAGAGTCTGCGCATTTTTGCTCAACTTGTGTCCCAATGCCTAGCTCATATTCATGTTCATTTGTGAACATATGTACAAAAATCCTAGATTTTAGCAGAACCAGATTGATATTGGCTTAAAGAAATATTTCACTACAACCAAAAAGTTTATTTTCAAAAGCTAGAATCATTCAATATGTGTATATTAATTTGTCATAATTCTAGGTGAAGATCATCTCAATTTCAAAAAGACAGTAATATTCAAACACCCATTCCCAATAAGATATATATTAACAAAGCAATTATAAAAAGTACTATTTTAACATGGACAGTCTTCTAAAATAAAACACTAATGTTTCTCAAACCTGATCCCTAAAATGATAGAATTTTATGAGATGTTTATGGTCATTTTGTAGGCAAATGGTGTTGGAAAAAATAGATTTAAAATGTCAAACTAAAAGGTTTTCAACAGAATACCCTTTTAAAGGAACAATAGGTAAGTTACATGCATCACTTTTCATGTTAGCCAGCTTTCCATTGCTGTGACAAAATACTTGAGAAAATCAACATAAAAGAGGAAACACTTATTTTGCCCCCTGGTCTCAGAGATTTCAGCCCACAGTCTCTTGGCCTGAGGTGAGCTGGACATCATGGTGGGAAACATGTGGTAGAGCAAAGCTACTCACCAAATAGTAGCCAGGAAAAAGAGAAAGAGGAAGGATCTGGAATATAGTACATAAGGGCACACCTTCAAGGACCTACTTCCTCCAAGCAGGCCCACTTCCTACAGTTTCCACCATTACCTAATAGTATATTCAGCCATGAATCCATCAACCCATTGATGAAGTCAGAGCCCTTATGTTCAATCATCCTTGAACATTGCTGCATTCGGGACTCAGCCCTCAACACATGAGCCTTTGGGAGACTTTTCAGATCCAAACTGTAACACTCAACCATTTCTTGCTGCAAGGGAAGAAAGGAAAGAAATCTAGCTGTAGCCTTGCTACAACTTAGAGTCAGATCATATATTACTAAAGACAAGCAGGGGAGTAGCAGAAGCTATGCCAACAATTTTTCCTGCGAACAATTTTTCCTGTAACAATTTTTGAAGTTACTGTAAGTCAACAACAAAATCTTAAAGTCAGTTTTTCTCCACAGGTATCTTTTAGTGAACATGTAGCCAATGTTAACTAGATTGTGACTGGTAAATTAAGTGCTTTTGTATGTATTTAAAGTTCACTTGCCCATGACCAGTCCTCAAAACTTAAGAGACTCTCAGGGGACTAATAGGTTAGTATTTGGTTATGGAGTCTTCAAGTAAAGCACTTTGTGTTGTCTGCTTTTAAAGTATCCCAGAGTTTTAAACCTAAAGCATAAAGAGTTATATTAATAACAGTTACATTTTCTATGTTAGTATATGTGTGGTTTCTTAGGAACCGTCTGTGCTGTGCTACGATGCAATATCTCGCTGCTTCACAAAAAGCTTATAAGGAGTTAGAATGTGTGTGTGTGTCATTAGTACCTCTGTAAAACACGATGTAAAATTAAAGATGAGGAATGTGCATAAATGATCAGTGTTTTTGTTTTAAAATTGGTCAGTACTATCAGTACTATGAAGCTTCTGTGGTTTGTGTGTTTTAACTTTCACTTTAAAATGCACACAATAAATTAAACTGAAAACAAACAAACAAAAAAAAAGACAAGCAGGGGATTAGCAGAAGCTATGCCACAGATGACATTAAAACAGTTATCAATATTATCCTTGAAATTTTCATCAGTGATGCAACAAGACAAGAAAAAGAAGTGACATAAAATTGACATTTATGTATGGATGATATGGTTACCTGGGAAAATCCAAGAGTATCAAAGAATCTATTGAAATTGATGAAAGAATTAAGTAAAGCAGCTAGTTATCAGACAAATGCAAAAATCAATAAATTTTAAATCAATATATTTATAAAATATAATATTGATAATGACAGTATGCACTTCCTAGAAGTAAATTTAACAGGAAATCTATAGAATCAGTAGGCAGAAAAATCACAACTTTCTAATAAAGGATATGAGATTTGAATAAATTGAGAGACAAGATGTACTCCTAGATTGGAGGATTCGGCATTGTAAAAGCATGGATTATATTCTAAATTAATCAGAAATTTAATGCAATCAAAATTTAAATTCTCACATTTTACTTGAATTTTTAAAAGTTAATCTAAAGTTCCTCTTTAAAATATTACGAACATTGTATGCACATATGAATAAAAGAAATTTTAAAAATAGTGACAAAAACAAGAATATTACATAAAATAACTTTA